AAAAAGTGCTTGTATGAAAGGGTGTGAATGAGTGAGTGCTCAGATTAGAAAAGTGCTATTTAAGAACCTGTCTATTTATCATTTGCATGTGAGGTGATCTGCTCAGATATCCAGAGTTATTATTTATATTATGTAATATTATTCTATTCAGCCCTTCTCTGCTTATAAAATTTAAAAAACAACAACAACTTTGCAAAAGTGGGAGAAGAAACACATCTGCACACAGCTGATTTCCTTGTGCTTTTCTTAGACATTTGTGCTCCTGCTCAGACAAACAGATTCAGCACTGAGTCTGCTGTCACTAAACTGTAATGCTTGCATCAAAGCACCACTGCTACATGAGAATATCACCAATCTGTGCAATGTAAAGCAGACAAACTGAAGTCACGTAACCTCTCACTATGTCAACTTTTCCCTGCTTGTGCTGATCCAAAAATAATGTCAGCTGTTTTGGAAAGGGGGAGGTTCCTTGCTCCTGAGCTACAGCAGGAACCAGTCACTGTGAGTTTTCAAGGTCAATGACATCAAACGTTTAAACAAGCGCTTCCAGCTGTGGCGAAGAGGGGTTAAAAGGTCATTTTAAAACGTGTTTTCCTATCAGAATATACAGCCAATAAAAATATTTCAGTGGAATGTACTATAAATTCACACAGGTTGCATGCAGTATTTTTAAATTAACTGCTTAACTAAATCAAGCAAAATTACCTAGAAGATTGTTTTCAGAACATTTGGGGGTTTTTTGCATTACAAATAGGTGTCACCCAAGGTGGCATCCTCATGTATCTTGTTTTGATTTCCTTCCACATTAAAACAGACTGAAGGTTGAAATCCTTTCATCTGGCCGGGAGCCAGATTAGGTATTAATATACTGTAAAAATCTCTGCTGATCAATTAATTGATCATTTTGCCTCAAACCCCACAAAGGAGGTGCACAAAATACAAGGTCACAAAAGCCTCGCTGTACTATAGCAAAGCATGATGCAGGATTTTAAAAGTGACTTTAATTTGACTTGGAGACACTGTTGCTGTAGCTTTGATATTTTAGTTATAAATAACTGTCCCGTGACCGTCTGTAACGTTATCTGCATAACTTGACTAGGTATGAAGGAAATGGCCCTAATCAAGACAGCATGGTGTGTGAGAGGAAACAGTGTGCTAGCGGAGACAGAACAGGTACAACAGCATTGAGCAGGGTTACCTTTACAGGGCAGCACTGTGGGTATCCGGGTGAGTGTAACCGTCACCATGCCTTTCACTGAGACGTTCAAGAGCACTGCGTTAGTTAAAGCTTGATGAGGAAGGTATTTCCATGAACGAAATCACGACTTTATGAAAATCAAGGGTTGTATTTTCAAATAAACGTGTGTCTTGTGTGTTTAAACTTATGCTATGTTGAAAAAAGGACTTGAACACACTTACCATGCTAATCTGTCGCTCCATTGCTCCATGTGATCGCAAACTGTTTTTAATTTTCTTCCGGGGTTG